ATAGAATAAGGTAGAATGTTTTTAAATAGGATTTCTTTCTATAGGAGTTGAGATAAATACAAGTGTTCTCTACCAGTGTTGCTTCAAGGTAGTTCCTTGGAAAGCAAGGATGGTCCAGCAGTTAATGTGGTGTGTGAAATCAGTGTCTTTAGGACTGTGGGCAAACATATTTGATTCTTTAAAATGTTCTCCTTTATGTCTCAGTACATTTAAATTTTCTGGAATTTCATCACTGGGTGCAGATTGTAGTTTTTGCAATGATCTGTCTCTTAGACACACTGGAGATCAGTGGATTGGCCCAGTGACAAGTCATCAAGTAGAATAAATGTAAAGGAAAAATGTAACTATATCTCTAATTTAATAGGCAGGTCACAGGTAGTTGTTTAGAAGGAAATCGTGGATAATATAAGAACTGGATAAAAATTTTAATATTGCTTGCATTTTTTTATGCATTGCATATAATGAAAAACCATATACATATATTTTGTGGTTTTAATTTTTAATTACTCTTAAAAAAACCCAAACAAATGGAAAAATGCCCTAATAGTGTGAGCATCATTTCATTAAAAGGTTCATGCACCTAAGCAGATTTAGCTCTGCTTTTATATAAATACAGGGAAATGTTTAACYCCTATTGTATGGCCACAAAGCCTGTGCTGATCACACAGAAGCTTGGGAGGGCCGAGGACAAAGCGCCGGGCTGCTGGAAACGGCTCCTCTTGTGCGGCCCCTGCACACAGGCCAGCAACTGCAGAGCTTAGCACCAGAGTTTTGTCAAGTTTGCAACATGAAGGGGAGCATAGTACAAGTTCTTACCTCTCACTAGCAGAAAGAAAGGAAAAATCAACCCACCAAAAAAGAAAGAGGACCAAGACGGCTTCATAGCTACACACACAAGGTAATGGCCGAGTTCCCTTTTCTATCCTGGTACTTCTTAATCACTMAAATAGTTGAAATTTACGTACCCTAGGATTAGTTAGTTTGATTTATTGGAATGAAGTTTCATGAGGGAATTCAGGTTATAACTTTGAACAGGATAATAAACCCACACTATGTAAATTACTGAGACATTCCGCTTTGGTTAATAGTCTAGGAATTGAAAGAATGGGGTTATAATTTGTATCCACGAAGGAAGGGCATGACTTTGCAACATATTAAAGATCAGATGAAATCTGTATTCTGTTTTGATTAGTATAATATGCATAAAATCTGGGCATTGTTCTTACGGATGTTAATATAATCTAGGCTGGATTACTTGCTCTAGGAAATATATTTGTGAGGATTTGTGTTTCAGAAATGAAAAATAAAAAAGTTACTTTTGTTGTATTTCCACTRTATATTTTTTCCATTATTACTTTGTCAGAATCATCTGGGGTTGAGCACACCCAGAAATAAGATAGCTATGACAGCAAGATGGATCACTGCCCTCATCAACAAGCAGGGTGGTTTCTCCTTTTCTGAGAGCTCCTCATTACTCCTTAGCTCTGAAAGAAGAAGCTACATGAGAGTGAACAATGGAGCTCTGCAGTACTGGATTGCATAAAACTGTGGTTAAATACAATAAATATCACAAAGCAAATATTTTATATTAAAGAACTTTCCACGGTATTGTAAAGTAAACSGAAACTTCATTATATGTATATAGATACATTATCAATTTTAGGAGAAAGCTATATATTGTCTCAGTATTGCTCTTTAAGGTTACATTAAAAATATTAAAGTGTCCTGACATTTTAAATAATATTTTTGAGTACATTTTATATAAAACTATTTAGCCAATCAGGTTATGAAATAAAAATTAATCTTTTGTATTTTGGATTTTTTTTACATTAGAACTTTTTGAATAGTTTTCTATTGCAATCTATGTATTTCTATTCTAAATTTAGCTTCCCTGGAGTCTGTCAACACTGTTACAAGAAAAGCAACAATGCTATGTAAATTGTAGTTCTTTCACAAATTTTTGAACAAATAAGTGTGCAGTAAGCATAATGTCAAGTGCAGAAAATTCAAAAGGGTGCTTTAGATTTCCACAATATGCTAGTGACCAAGGAAATTATATAACCCAAAATATATCTCATTAATTTGAAAACATATTTCATCTAATCTGTTATTTTTTTAGAACCATCATTTTTACCCTTCTTGATTTTTCTTTCTTGCTAGGTTTTTTCCCTTCTTTTAGTGAATGTTAGAAATTTGGAAAAGATTACCTGAAGTATTAATAGAGCTGTGATTTTCTGCTGTATATGAGGTCTCATACAAGTCATCCCTGGGTTTTAGAACATGCTTAACTTTTGGCATGTTCTTAAATGGCAAAAAGAAGAAGGCAGGGACAAATTCCTGTCATCAAGGTAYGCTGCTTGGCAAGGTCTGTGCATTTTAATGCTTTAGAAAATTAGTCTCTTAAAAAAGAAGGCTGGCCATAATCTGGTTGTGGTGTGGGTGCTGTAGTATTCCTGMAGTCCTGATAAGTAGTTGGTGTCTTTAGTTCAGAGATACCTGGAATAAAGGAAGCTATATTGMAGCCCATCAAAGTCATGATGTTACAGGCTAATATTGTAAATCCGTGTGGTCTGCTCCGGTGTGTCCCATGGGGGCAGGCAGAGGCTGCAGCTGAGGATGCAGTTTCTGAAATGGGATAATTGCAGGGCTGTCAAGAGTGGAGAGTCACAACTTAAGGCAGTTTTAGCCATGCTGTTGTTTGGAAGGGTTCTTTGGGCTGGAACGTTCTCTAAAGCACGCTCAGGTTTTGTCTCAGTTTGTTGGGGCACCGAAGCAGCCAGGAAGCAGCGTGAATGGCAGGGTGGATGTCGCTGTTACCTTGGTATAATGGGATCTGTGCGATCATTGTCAGCCTGTGCTGTGCTCAATTAGGAGCTGCACGCATGTAGCACYGCTGAATGCAAGTTCTGTGTTGACTTTGGCTCATCCAGATCCTGCTGGTTTGCCGGCAGCTTTTCCAGCTGAATATGGAGGCGGGGGGTTGGAAGTGATTTGAGTGCCTGAATAAAGATAAAGGCAGTGAAGTGAGTCTCCTATGTGAATTTCACCCCGGTGAAATAAATTATATATGCCAGAACTCCAGAAGTTACAAAGTTAATGTATTGTTTCCAGTGTTTCATTATGTAAAGCAACAAGTTGTTTTAGAAGAGCATGATAAAAAGCAATTTATGAGAAGTGTTGTTCGTTACTGAAAGAAATAGCTACAGGAGGGTTCTAAGGTTTTGCCAATTGGCAGGCCAATCTAACTATAAAAAGGCTTTTCAAAGTATATGGAAAGAAATTGATTATTCAGGTTGATGAGAAATTAAACTGATCTTCCTGTGTCACTCTCGTAAGCTGGGATGTTGTAGTTTCTCCTGGTTTACTATACAAAACAATGCCAATCTGCAGTTTAGAGTAAATAAGGAACCTTAATTACTTTCCTACAAGTAAGGTGTGCATATTTTATGTACAGGACACAAAATAACAGGTGTTGTGGTGATGGTAATTTGTTGCTGCTCTCTGCAGTTCGTCACCAGTTCACTGAAATAAAGACTTCATATTGTGCCAAGGGTAACTGAGTTTGCAGATGAGCAGCATGTGTTGAAGTTCAAAGACTGTAAGGAGAATCCTAAGTTAGAAAGTTTTTGAAGCTCACTTTCAAAATTCCTGATCTGTCTTCAGTCTTGCTCCCTCGAAAGTTCAGTTCCACATATGCCATGGAAAGATAGGCAACTTGTTCTCAACAAAACATAAGATAGCTTAAAGTAACAAAAAGTAAGAGATGAGAGGAACTGGGTGCAGCATTCTTGTGAATAAATGAAGAATTCAAAATAAACCTCTCCTGCTGTCTTCTCTTGCATTGTTTCGTGCTTGTAACTGGGGGAGGAGAGGAGTGGGGGATGTGCATCCCATCCTTCCACTAGAATTGAGGATATTCTCCTAGAAAGTGGGAGATCAGACAAATTACAAATTGCCTATGACTCATATCTCTCTCTTTTTGGGCAAGTGCTGTCTGCGACCAAAGGTTTCCCTGCAATAGAGGCTTGCTGTCAGCTGCTAGCACCTCTTCCAGCAGATGTCTTTAGAAGCTTGAGCACATGTAGCACAAAGAGCACTCAAGTGTTTAGTCCTGAGGTACCCAGGGTGCCTTAAATTGGGTTACTGAACACTGGAAAGATGTGGTTCCGCTTCTTGATTGTCTTGCTTTGTGAAGCACTGACTGTTTATCACTAATGGTACAATGAACCTGATAAACCTGGATATGGCTACTCTGGTTTGGTCTGATGTAACTGGCTATTTCACAGAGCTAAATGCAAAACCCAGCTTTGAAACCTCGGGAGCTGCTTTTGTTTCTAATACTTCTTATTTTTTCTTCGGCCCAATGTATATAAATTAGTTTCTATTAAAATACAATTTCATTTGACTTAACTGAATTTAGTATTGCAGCTTTATCAAGATATATGAAGTATTTGTTGTAATTTAACAGTAAACATAATTATTTGTTTCTATAAATACTTCAAGTTGTATGTTTTTTTTCTCAGGCAAGGCAGTAACAGAGACCTGTCATACAGGACATAAGAAAAGAAGGAAAAGTAAAGGGAGAGACCAACATTCTCAGAAGTTATTTGTACAAAGGTAAGATAATTTTTCCCTCTTTAGTTTATTTTCCTATGCTAACTGCGGGGGAAAAAAAAMCCCCAAACTACTGGCATTGATTTTCTATCTGTTAATTTCTATCTTTCAATTCAGTTTCTATTAAGTGTTATCCAGGGTAATCATGTAACATGTTCTGCGTTTACCTGCATTTTCATTTTTACTTAACAGTCTGTGATTTTCTTTTTAAATTTCAGCTCAAGYTGTAACTGAAGGCCATATCTAAATATGTTAACTAGAAAAGCAGCTGAAAGTATTTTATTGTTTTATGTAATTGAAGGTGGCCTTAATGATTTCTGATATTCCTTACTGGAGATAATAGTGTCAAAGAAAGTCAACTCATGAAAAAGTGAGTCTGGAAAAATGAACTTAGAAAGAATATTCTATATTGTACCAAAAAATTGAAAGTTTTTTCTTTTAGCAGAGACCACAGATTTAGTGATGGGGACATTCTGAAATCTTTGCTCACATGGTTTAGGTCCTAACTTCTTTTTTCCCAATCCCYCTTGAACTCCCTCCCTGCTCTTGTGTTTGAATTGTGTAATTATTTCGGCATAAGAAGAGAGCTTTACTTGAAGTGAGTAGTAGCTGCTGAATAGTCAACTGTGGTTTAGTATCTGATTTTTTTTTTAATGAAAATCTGATTTGGGGATCTTGAATGCAGTATTGTGTGTAGTTTAGTAGAACAGAACTTTTTTATCTTTTACAGTGTGTAGGCGTGGATGATTGCAAAGTGTTTTATCCCTCTGTTACGTGGTCAAGCAGACAGACAGTCTGAGAGCGCCAGTAATACATTTAAAACGGAAGGGAGGACATGGTCACTGAAACATTTTGACTTCTGGATTACTTATTAGTGTTACTGAAAGTAACATTTAGTGGGTCCTCTCCCTGCCATGAAGATATTTTGTTTGCTTGTTTGTTTTTTACCTCTTCTGAAATGGTTCTTATGTTAGTCACTCAGGAGTTAATGCATCTTTGGATAAAGAGGACTGTTACTGTAAGGTTTTTAAACTAGACTGCTCTGAAAAAAAAAAAATGACCATTGAAATCTCTGAAAGGCTTTTTGGATGGTAACCAAGTTAAGGAAGCTCTGAAGTTCTTTGGCTTTGCTACTGGCTGCTCTCACTCACCAGGATCCTGGCACCCTATCACTGTGCCTTCATTGCCTCCATTGCTCCAGTTCTCCTGTCAGGGAATGCCACCATACAATACATCCCCTGGGGCTAATTGGATGAGTGACAACCAGCCAGCTCCAAAGTGACAATTGTTTGAATGCCTAACTGGGTCAGTGCACAGGTGCCTGCTCCTCATGAATGAGATGTTCTAGCTTTTCTCTGTGATGTTCTCTGGGTTCCTCTCATTTTTCCTACAGTTGTGAAACAAAACTGTCAATACTTTGATGTGAGAGAATAGGCTTTGTCAAAGGAGARGGATGATTTCCCGTTGCCCTGCTTTGGTTAAACAAGCTTTACCACTTGAGTACTCACTRAAGGAGACACACAGAAATCCATTAAATGACGGAAGTTTGCTGATRCAAATGGACATTTCAATAGACAATAAGGTGAATTATTTGACTGGTGAAAACAAATACACTGTCTTAAACTCTATGTTATGTGGTTCTCATACTGTTTAAGACCTACAGGTTTGAGCATGAGGAAAAGCTTTAGAGAGAAAAAGAACTTACTTTGTTATATCTGCACAATGAGGCTTTTCCTAAGTCAAATCACTTACGTTCATATAATGAAGTCAGACACAGGCAACTGATGTACAAGGGAACTGTTTTGTCTTATTGAAGGCTTGGTATGTGCATAGAAAACAACTGACATTAAGCCAGTCTATATTACTTAGATGAATTTACCCTTTTGTCTCTTCCACAAAAAACGTGGGATACTTGAGRTTGGAAAGGTTGTCTGCAGATTGTCCAGTTCACCACCCACTCTGATCAAGTAAAGGAGGTTGCTGCTTGGGCAGCTGGTGAGCAACCATAGAGTAGAAAAGATCTTTTTTTTGTTTAGGTGGAATTTTATCTGTTTCAGTTTGTGGTCATTGCCTTTTACCCTGCTGCTGGGCACCACTGAGAAGTGCTCTTTACCCCTGTGCCCCTCAGGTATTTATACACATTGACAAGATCTCTTGGAGCCTTCTCCAGGCTGGAGTCTCCGTGCTTCCAGGCTCACCACGTCARATGCTCCAATCCTTAATCGTCTTGGCAGTCATACCCTGGACTGCATTCTGGGTTGCTTATGTTTTGCTTGTACTGGGCAGCCCACAAGTGGACACAACCCTTCAGGCATATCTCAGCAGTGCTGAGTGGAGTGGAATGATCTCTGTCTTGACCTGCTGATAACATTTTTTCCTAATGCAGCACAAGATGCTTTTGGCCTTCCCCACTGCAGTGGTACACTGCTGGCTTGTGGCTTGCTTGGAGCCCACTAGGATACCTCCCTGGYGTTTTCCTGCAAAGCCTCTTTCCAGCTGATCATGCTTCATCCTGTTCTGGTGCTTGGGGTTATTCCTCCCTAGGTGAAGGACTTTGTATTTCCCTTTGCTGAACTTCGTAAAATTCCTGTTGGTTTATGGCTGAGCTTTGTAAGGTGCCTGTGAATGCCAGTTCAACCAGCTGGTCTGTGAGCCCCTCTTCCCAGTTGGTGTCGCCAGGAAACTTGCTGTGGGTGCACTGTATCCCAGCATCCAGGTCATTAATGAAGGAGTTGAATGGAACTGGCGCAAGTACTGATCCTCAGAGTACACCAGCAGACTTTTCTCTAGCTAGACTTCATGCTGATCACAACCCTTTGAGGCCAGCAGTTCAGCCAGATTTCCGTCTATCTCACTGTCCAGTTCTGTAGTCTGTACTTCATCAGTTTGTCTGTGGGGAATTTATGTGAGACAATGTCAAAAGCCTTGCAAAAGTCAATATAAACAACATCTGCTTCTCTCCTGTCACCCACTGAGCCAGCCATTAGCTGGTCTGTTCTGCCCAGAGTGTCTCTGTCCTAGCAGGTGCTGCTGGCAGGGTGGCTCCAGTGTGTCCCCAGTTCAAGATTTGTTTAAAACAATGTTGTCACTCTTGTTTTGGCTGGCTTGAATGTGTGWTTCTAAAATAATGCTTTTTTTATTGGTGTATATTTAAAAGCGTGCAGACAGTTATTTAAACATAGTCAAGTTTGAAAATATTCGAAGTGGTGCGAAGTCAGCTAGGTAGCTACTGTCAACATTGTTTATAGAGAAACTGTTTATGTTCCTCCCTGTCCTTACTAATAAAAAGACCTGCTGACAGAAGTGGAAAATAAAGAGAAAAAAAGGCTTTATATGGTGTCTCCCAGCTGTTTATGATAAACAGACTGAACTGAGGGAACTTTTAATTAGTAGGAGTCAGAGGAATTATTTATAATWACAGAAGTTCAATTTTTCAAGTTTACATTATTCCTTGTAAAATTTGTTGTGAAAAATGACCTCATTCTAACAAGGCTGGCATACCATCTAATTAAATTTAGGAAACTTGATAGGAGAAACTGTCTGGAACAGAGGAACATATTTCAGTAATCCGTAGTTTCCTAACATGAGCAAGGAAAGGATGAAGAGGGTTTCTTATTCAAGAATCAAGATGTTAGCATTTTACATGGCAAAAATTACCTCTAGAAACCAAGAGACATTTTTAACAGACTGGGACATGGAAGGCTGTAAAATGAAAACTTCTATTTTCACTTGTGGAAAGACATGATTTTATTTATATTAAAAAATACCTCACAGAGATTTAATTTATTGATAATAAACTGATGTGTTTCATAAATAAGCTACCAAGAGTTTAAACAGAAATAGTTGTAACTCATTTAGGAATCGCAGCAACTCTAGTTCTATTGAAGCCTGCCCAAATGTAGTGAGTGTATGGTGTCTAGGATAGTTTTAGTATTCATATAAAACATGGGGTTTTGCCTGACTTCATAATCTCTGATTTCCTCATATGTAGATGAAATTAAATGGACCTCTTTAAATCACTTGTTCCTTTTTTGGATATCTTGCTTTTCCAATATGTTAAAAGAGGACAGCATGTAAGGAAAATATATAATCCTGAGCGCTCGGCTCCTGGTGCATACTCATTTTGCAAGAACTTTGGGTGATGACTTATGTAGGATAAAAGTGATACTCCTACATTATTGCAAATTTGAGTCTGTTCCTGTGGTAACTGTGCTTGCAACCACAGTTGCCATAAATAAACATTTTATAACTTTTTTCTTTTTTAACATAATGTTAAAAGGGGAGGGATGGTAAAGAAAAGCAAAGGAAAGTCAAACCAAGTTTTGTTCAGGTTTTTTTCTGTGGTTTTGGAAACTTTCTGAGCTTTCAACTTCCTGCGAGAGAAGCAGTGGTAAAAGATCTTGGGAAACTATTTGAGTGCTATATTTTTGTTCCTTGGTGCTTATACTTCACTGAAATACTGAATGAGTGTGAAATATAGAAGGCAGCAAACACAAATATTTAAGACATGGAGTTACTCCACCTAATTTCAGGTGTTTGGGTGCGTCAGTGAAATTAACAGCGTAGTTGTTTAATCAATGGAAATTGATCCAATTAAAGAGAAACATGATTTTTGGTAGACATTTAGGTGAAGCTTACACTCATGCATTTACTTATTGGAGCTACTCTATAAGGCAAATATATAACTTSATCTTAAAAGAATTTTCAAGCTACRTAATTAGTAGAAAAATACAGTAATTTAGTTTTTGAAGTCTTCTGGTAGCCCTGGAAATCATCCAGTACAGCGTCCTGTTCGAAGCAAAGGAAGGGTAGAGTCAGAGCGGATTATTCAGGGCTTTGTCCCATTCAGTTTCAAAAATCTCCAAGGGTGGAGGTTCTACAGTCTCCTTGGACAATGTAGTATGTCCTTAACAGCTCTACCTAGGAAATTTCTTATTTAAGTCTGAACTTTACTTTGCTGTAACTTCTGACTACTGCATCTTGGCTTTTTGTGGTGCACCTTG